CAGTGGAAGGGGCACCAATCATCAGATGGGGATCTGGGGCAAGGGAGAAAGTAGCTTTGTCCTGCAGCTGGCGGGCCAGGCCAGACTGTCCCCAGGGGCTAGAGGAGGAGCTAGCAGCCACGGGCACAGAGAAGCCTCTGTGAGAGAAAGCGCCCAGCTGGCGGGAGCCACTCATCCTCCTGGGGCCCTCCTGGTGCAAGAAAACGGAGAAGGGCCCCCGAGTCCCGGTGCCTATGGCCAAGAGGACTTGTCGGAGGACCTAGGGGACTGGAGAGAAGAGGCAGGAGCCCCCCTTCTTATCCTCAAGGCTCCCTGGTGCAAGTTTCTGGTAGGGCTCAGGCCCCGCCTCTCGGAGAGGTGGCACCGCGGCCGACTGCGGCCGCACACGGGGAAGGGCGGAGGGCGGGGCAAGCGAGAAGGGACGCCCGCGAGGCCCAGGAACCCGAGCGGAGCTCCGGCCCGCCCTCCAGGACCGCCGCGCGCCTCCACCGCCCCTCCCGGAGACCTTGTGCAGGGAAAAATCAAACCGGGCTGCCGGCTTCTCGGCCAATCAGGGGGCGGATGGGCCAGCTTCGCCCAATGGGCGCCGCGAATGCTAACGAGCGCTGACGTCACGAGGAGGGCCCCATTCAAAAAGTAGCAGCTATTGTCGCGCAGGTTGCAGGGACGGCGGTGCCCGGAAGCCTTTCGTATTCTGGAGGGGAGAGGTGTGCCCAGGGCCTAAGGAGTAAGGCCAGCCCCTCCCCCTCCAGGGCTTGAAGCTACCGGGCCCAGGCGGGTGGGCGACCCCGGGAAGCCTGAGCTGGGCACGGAACACCTGCCTAGTGTTAGGGAGGCTCTGTGCCATTAGAATGTCCGCCCATACCAAGACGGGACACCTGGCCCCAGGGCCCGCCCACACTGGGTCGCCAGGCTCCAGCACCTCGGTGTGCTGCTCAGATACCTTTCAAGTTAGGAGAGGAGGTTCCTTCTCATTCTGACAGCCCAGCCCCCGCCTCCAGGGCCGCACAGGCAGGATCTCCCAAGACGACCTGTCAAGACCCAGCCTGTTTCCAGGAAGAGCAAAGGGGTGGCTGGCGTGCTGCCCGCCCCCCTTCTGTCCCAGTCCCAGGGACCTGAGACTTCCCCCAGCATCTGCCTTGGGTACAGGCCTGCGTTATGGTGGGGCTCCCAGGGAGCTGGAGGCCCCTACGCCCCTGGGCCCATTCAGCCCCTGCGGGTGCCGACCACTGCTCCCCGGCCTTGGCCATATTCAGCTCTGAGCCTGCCGTGAGGGCGCCCTGTGAGATCTGGCCCACAGGCAGCCATGTCCAGGTGGCTGTACTGCTGAAACTAGCTGCAGACTGGCCGATGGACAGCTCCGGGCCTGGGGTCCACTGTCCAGCCCCATGTCACACCCTTCAAAGGCCACATGACCCGTGCCCACCACAGGACAGCACCCACGTGGCCACTCCCCAGGCTTCTGGCCATCACCCTTTATAGGCAAGCCGAAGCCCAGACAAGGTCGGTGGGCAGACCTGGCCTCGGGGTGCCCCATCTGAAGCTCCAAGCTCCCCACCACATTCAACTTTCCAAGCGCCCAGCCCAGGGTCTCAGGGCCTCCTTGCCCGTTTGCTACTGGGGATTCGGTGCATGCTCCAGGCTGGCGGCCCAAGGTGTTGGCAAAAGCTCAGGGCCCGGATGGCATTAGGCCTGTTGTCACCCCTGGTCACCAGCCCATGACCATCTGGAACCAAGGACTTAATTGTGCAGACCAGGCCACGTGCCTCAGGGCTGCCGTGCCTGCCTGCTGCACCTCTGGGGCAGGGGTGCGGCCAGTGCTCTCCCTCAGCCCTGCCTTGGAGTTGCTCCTTGCTGGGTACACCGGGCCTACCAGCTCCAGACTAGGTGCCAGGCACAATAATGGGGGTAGTGCTGGGGACTGAGGGGCCCCTCCATACCCACCTCTTGTAGGGAGTTGCACTTATGCCCCCAGGGAAGCTGACCTACAACCTGCCCTTGTGGCCCCTGTGGAGGCCCTCTGCGGGGCTCACATTTCAGTGGCACCAGGAGCCCTCAGAACACTGGCTTATGGCTGGGTCACACAAGCCAGAGGTTCTGCAGAAGCTGGGGCTCCCCACCAGCCCGGTGCCTCGGCCCAGTGCAGATGAGGGTGCAGAGGCCTGGCACCCTCTAGGACCCCAGGACGTTCTCACAGTTCAGGGCGCTGGGGGTGCGGGAAAGAACTGGATGGAGCTTCTGTTCATGAGAGCCGAGAGCGCCCAGCTGGGCTGGGGGAGGGGCTTGCCAGCAAACCCAGGTGGGAGGGAGGGACAAGGAGGCCCCGGCCCGCCAGGCCAAGCCAGTGCCTGAGACCTGAGGTCAGGTAAGTTTGGGAGGACCAAAGGCTTGGGGGAGTCCTGCAGGCCTGGACCCCAGGTTTACCTGCTCCGGGATGGGTGGCAGCCAGGCCTGCGGGTAAGCAGGGCCCTACCGCGCCCCTGTAGGTACAGCGGCATGCAGGACCCTGGAGGTAGGCTCAGGGGATGCTCGGCGGGGCCCCCGTGCGCGAGGCGAGCATCGTCGCAGGCACACCATCACCAACGGGGCGGACTGTGGCCTGGTGAGGAGCGGGCTCCACCTCGGGTCTGGGGTGGGGGCGGTGCTCCCAAGGCAGGAGCAGCCTTCGCTTCTGAAAAGCTCTTCCCTCTGGGTGAACCACCTGAGCAGAGCCGGGTCAGGCGGGGAGGCCGGAAGGTCCAGGGAGGTGGGGCAATGCGGGCTCCCCTCAGAGGCAGACCCCGAGGTTGCTGAGCTCAGCACCTGGGAAAGCCTAAGGGGCTGAGAGCCAGGACCCCCACCGGAGGAGGGGAAGCACACGGGTACGTCCTCAGAATTGTGCCAGGTGCATCCGTGTGCGCACACGCGAGTGCGCGGGCACGCACAGATGCATGTGCTCACCATGTGTGCACTCCCACGCTGTGGTGCAGCTGCAGCAGGCAGCGGAGCTGGAGCAGGAGGAGGAGGTGCTGCTGCGGGGCCTGGAGATGATGGCGCAGGGCCGTGACTGGTACCAGCAGCAGCTGCGGCGGGTGCAGGAGCGCCGACACCGTCTGGCCCAGGGCCGCACCAGCACCGTGAGTGCCCCTGCCCTGCCCCAGGCGCCCCGCCGCTGTGGCTGCCACTCCCACTTGGGCTGGGACACCTCTGGCCCCCACTGGGCTCTGAGCAGGAAACAGCTGTCCCGTCCCTCCTGAACCCCGCCCTGGCCTCCAGTGGGAGGCGCTGTCATATCAAGCGTGTGCAGTGACGGCCTGCTGGCGGGACCCCTCGAGGGCAGTGCAAGCCCATCTCTCTGACCACCCTCCCCTCTCCAGGACTTGGAGGCTGCAGGGAGCCCCCGCCCACTGGGGTGCCTACTGCCCAAGGTCCAAGAGGTGGCCCGGTGCCTGGGGGAGCTGCTGGCCGCAGCCTGCACTGGCACGGTGAGTGTCCTCTGGCCGTAGCGCAACTGTGTCAGAGAAGGCCAGGCCCACCTGACTGTGCCCTCCCGCAGGCTCTGCCCTCGGCCTCCGTGGGGCCCCAGTGCCCTGCCCCGGCTCCTGGCCCACCCTCGGCGCCTGGCTGGCAGCACCAGACGGTCCTCATGCTGAAGGAGCACAACCGGCTCCTCACCCAGGTGAGGTGCGGGCAGGCTGGGGGCTGGGCTAGAGGCCGCAGACCCTGACGCTGCCTCCTGACGCTGCCTCCTGTCCCTGCCTGCCCACCCAGGAGGTGACCGCCAAGAGCGCGCGCATCGCCCAGCTGCAGCGGGAGAAGGCCACCCTCATCCAGCAGCTGTTCGAGGCGCGTGCCCTCAGCCAGCAGGACGCCGGGCCTC